GAATGAGGGTTTCCACTAGTTACCACAGCAACAAAGTCAAAATTGGCTATAGCTTAAAAATTCATGGCTGTGGCTGTGGTAACTAGTGACGACCTAGAATTAGCGTGACCCGAGTTACTGACCTGGTGACACAGATGGCTTCGTCAACCACGGTAATGTGTGTTATGTGAAAAGCTGTGTTAAAAAATACCTGGTTTGATAAACGAGTAGTTTAATTATCCAGCCAAGCAAATACAAGTAGTAGAGTTATTTTGGTTGTGAAGTACATTATCAAAAAGCTTTGTCTTTTCGTTATAACAAAATGCAATTTACCACTTGGCTGTCTATTGTATCACCATGTCACAAGCCCTCCCTATCAACACCACCTCATAAGATAAGGAAGCGCATTGTTTATGAGGATTGCCTGCTGCAGTTGTTTGAGAGATTTCCAGTTTGCAGCCGAAGATGCAACATAGAGAAGACCAGCAAGTGGACCCTCAGAATCACGCAGACATGCCCTCGCTGTGAACATTCTTATAAATGGAACAGGGACGACACTTGAATCAGGTTGGTGACATTTGACCAGGTGAAAGGTCAAAACAGTTTCGAGTTTGGTCCCAATTCACCTTCATAACCTAGCCAGGTGGAAGCACCCAGATTGCGGCGTTTACCATTCTATTTCACTTCACATATCATAGCAAAAATCTACAGGACGGTAGCTATCCAGGAATAGGGTTGGAGAGCCCTGATGTAATCAGTGCTCTGTGTATGACCGACCTGTATCTTATTATTTTTTTACCCCTTTTTCGTGATATCCAATTGGTAGTTACAGTCTTGTCCCATCGCTACAACTCCCGTACGGACTCGGGAGAGGCAAAGGTCAAGAGCCATGCGTCCTCTGAAACATGACCCTGCCAAGCCGCACTGCTTCTTGACACAATGCTCGCTTAACCTAGAGCCAGCCGTACCTATGTGTCTGAGGAAACACCGTCCAGCTGGCGACCGAAGTCAGCATGCATGCGCCCGGCCCGCCACAAGAAGTCGCTAGAGCGCGTTGAGACAAGGACATCCCGGCCGGCCAAATCCTCCCCTAACCTGGACGACGCTGGGCCAATTGTGCACCGCCTCATGGGTCTCCCGGTCGCGGCCAGCTGCGACACAGCCTGGGATCGAACTCGGGTCTGTAGTGATGCCTTTAGCACTGCGATGCACTGCCTTAGACCGCTGCACCACTCGAGAGGCCCGACTGACCTGTATCTTTGAGCTGATTTATGCTGCCATGCCCATCAATGGGGCGCTGGCAAAGACCTTACCTCCAGCCTCACCTCTTGCCTGCTCACCAACGGTCATCAATGGGGAGACCAGAATTGGGTAGGTTTAGTCTGACCTGTTCAAACTTCAACATAGTATAGGTTTGTTTGTCAGGTATCACCTATCCTATCTTCCTTTGGTAATAGAACAGTGACTGTGTATGTGTTCACAGATGCATCTATGGAGCCAGCACTTGGAGACTTGCAAGATGATGTGATGGAATCCTTACCGACAGACAGGCTTGATACTAACGTCTATGAATGGAGAGAGACCTGGCACACAACACATAAACAGTGTGGGACTGAAGGTGATTTCTAATAATACAGTACAGCAGAAATGTCCAGTATTTGCAACACCCTTTTCATTCCATATGTCACTGATGAACTCTGCCTATTTCTACAGATGGACTGTAGATGCTTTTACCAGACGCCAGCCCAGTCGTTTGATGGGGAGACCATAATTGGGTTGGTTATACAGTGTATTCGGAAAGTATTCAGACCCCTTGACTTTTTCCACTTTGTTACGTTACAGCCTTAATCTAAAATGGATAAAATAAATGTTTTTCCTCATCAATCTACACACAATACCCCATAATGACAAAGTGAAAACGTAATTGTTTTGTGTGTGCAAATTTGTAAAAAATTGAAAACAGAAATTACCCCATTACCACCAGACAAAATGTTGATAGGCACAGTATCTGTATCGGCTGGGAATGACAATGAAAGGTGAAAGGTGCACATTGTTATGTCAGCAGAACACTGCTTCTGTGGTATTATGTAAAAGGTTGTTTGGCAAGGACACACCCAAGAAACAACCACATCAAACCACACCCCCAATCCAACTCACGCTTGGCTTCTGTCATGGCCACCAGCATTTCTTGAGGAGCAAGTTCCCCTTTAAAGTTATTGCCCATTTTATACAGAGAATTTGGCATAGTAGGCAATGTAACCAATCCCAGCCCTCCTTTTACTTGTATCATTAAACATCCTGCAAATCACCAGCAGAGGGCAACCATTTTTAATCCATTTTCACATTCACGCTGTTGGTAATACTTACAAATTGGGTCATAACTCTAATAGTAGCAGAGATCCCCCTTTGGAACTTTGATAGGCCCATAAAGTATATTATGTTCAACAATATCTTGAAAAATTAGCCAAATCAAGTTTTTTAAAAAGATAGTGAAATCAAAACACTGCTCATATTACAGAGCAAACATTAAAGCTTCATATGACACCAATGTACGCTTTGTAGCACCTACAGATGAAACACTATGGAGTCTTAAAGGAAGCCTGCGGAAGGCCAAATGTAATAAATATGCCAACTTTTATAAATTATTTCTCAATTATGGTTTTAGATTAAAATGTCAAATAAATGTCAACAATTCTTCCTCCAAAAGACTATTCTATTGAGTACACTTTGTGACATCCCACAAATCAATGGGCCTTGTCTGAGGCGATTGAGTAGGCAGCCAGCAGCACCACAGCAGGCAGTGCACCACTGACAGCATTATGCAGAGGAGACAGTAAATAAAATAAGAGACAGACTACTGACTACCTGCTGCCTTGATCTGAACCTCCCCGCTTCACACAATGTTACCTGCTCTCTGAGACAGACATATAGACACACACAGAGAGACGCACAGACAGCAAGACATGCAGGCAGGTGGTTAGGTAAGCAGGCAGGCATACCCCTCATGCTATCCTAACCCCCTGGTCACCCATTAATATGTATGGACTGAGTCACAGCATTACTGTGCTTTTTGTATAATATTCCATTCTCCCTGCAGGTATAGAGAGTGTGTGTGTGTGTGTGTGTGTGTGTGTGTGTGTGTGTGTGTGTGCGTGTGTGTGTGTGTGTGTGTTTGTGTTCCATCACCCTGCAGAGCATGGAGATATGAGTTAAGAGACGTGCAGATTAAAATCCCCATACCTCAGGCAGAGTACATAATTAAGTAGAGAGAATTTAATAAGTAAACAGTAGCTATGGGTTAAACCTTTTTATCCACTCACCTCCCTGAATAGCACACACATACACTCCCTTGGGACCATGCTAAAGTTTCATCTCTTCAAACTTCCCCTTCTCACACACACCCTTCCGTCTGCCAGCATTGAACTGTAGCAGCTAGCAGTCTTGCATAATGAGAAGCTGTGACATTTGAGAGCATGGAGAGGACACACCGACAAATCCACCTAATGTTTTCCTGACACATTAGCCTGTGATTGAGGACGGAAGTGGATTCTCCTGAACACGCCACACCTCTCTGGTGGGAAGACGGGAGACAAAAGGTCCAGGAAGGCCCGGGGGCAGCGTTGGTATTCCAGTATGATAATGTGCCGGGGCTGGTATTCCAGTGAGTACGATATTAAACTGATTATGGCAGTAGGCTGATTATGCAATAGTCATGCAAACACCTTATTATGCTTATCTTAGTCTGTGTAAGGTCAAAATTGAAGTAAGCATATGCCGATTAAAACACCTGGTTTTCTGAGCAATCTTTCATATTATTAATACATGTAAATACCTTAATTGGCGTTCCAGCCGTGTATTTGATCTGCTCATGTGCTAGCACCAACTGAGCTAGCGTCCCTCTTTAGCACAAGTGAAGTGAGTTCTGAACAACTGAATGTATGCGTCTTAGAAATAGTTTTCACATACAAACGTTATATGTCTTTATAAGATTACCATCAGGTAGCCTGATTTCAGATGTGTCCATGTAAATATAACTATTAGGGAAATCGTTATTTTTTTTGCAAAGCATGTAAACGTTTTAACTGAACTATTATACTAATCTGACTATCCACAATAATCACATTATTGTGTGCATGTAACTGTACTCAGTGACTGCCTGCCAATAAGGGAATTACCTTTTCACAGGGTGTTCAAATTAACCTGCTACATTATGGTGCTTGACCGCGGATCAGCTCTCAGAGGGGGCGGCGTTACGCTGCTCCTCTCACAGAGAGAGACAGAGTTATGTAACGACACAGCAGAGTTAGGGCTGCAGGGTTCGCTGGAGGGCCAGGTTCAACATTCTCTATGCTAAATAATTGATACCTGGCTGATTAGCATTGACCTCACAGATGTGCACGCATACACACACGTGCGCACACACGAACACACGCAGCTTTATTTCCAGTGAATGTGTCCCCACGCTAAGCTATTTAGGCTGGCATTAAAGCCATCCTTTCCAAGGTTGACCTGGGATAAAGAAAGTCTATTTGAGTTGTTGTGTGTTTAAAATGGGCGTATCTGAGGTAGCTTGGTGAGAGGGAGAGCAACTTAGCCACCTGCCAATCCTATAGCCTACTGTAGGAACCAACAGCACAGAGGGAAACTCTGCTAATATCACTCTGACCACTGCCAAATGAACAACTTACACTATCCCTGTCACTCCAGTACTGCTCAACAGAGTCATAGATGTCTGTCTGGGAGGAGATGAAGACAGATTTAGATGGTGATGTCATAAATATCTTGATTTTAAGACATGTATGTCGCTCCAAGAAGCCAAATGGAAGCCCTCACAGTGAACGGAACACAGTGAGTAGATAGGAATAATTGGCTCCTTTTTATACTTCCTCTGTCTCATTTAGGATGTAATCTCTGTGTAATCCATCTTTAGCTCACACTAGACTGATGTGTGTCATACTTCCACAGCTAGGTTTTATTCTTAGAGAATTTGAATTAGGAGAATCATCTTCAGACGTTCTCGTTCAAAGTAGTGTTCCGAGATAGAAACACTGTTGGCCATATTGGAATGTTAGTTGTAATAGTGTGGTTGTACTGACCTCAGGATTGGTCCACTTGGTCTTGATGTGGTCAGCCATGTTCTGTGTGCAGCCCAGCAGGTCATAACCGTCCCTGCTCTGGAGGAGAACAAAGACATAGGACAGAGACAGTCACACAATTTGAAGTTGGTTTGTAAAATTCCATTACTCCTAGGCTTCATCTTTTATCATTCTAAATATTCCTCAGAGGCAAAATTATGATGATGATTATCCCACTTGGTTCATCACTAATTGGTACTATAATGATACTGAATGTAAATGGGGCAGTGATAATGTAATCTCTCTCCTCCCTGCGTAGTGATGATGATGTCATTCCCTCTCCTGCACATTATCCATGATATCTCCTCTGCCCACAGAGAGCAGTCAGTTAGTCAGTGAGTCACGGGACGGGAGGGGATGGGCTGTAAAACGCCTGCAGTAAAAAGCCATATGGGAAGGAAGTGAAGCCACAATGCAGGAAGGAATTGATCCCTAGTCAAACAGACACTGGGATATGTTAATCAAATTCAAAAAATAATAATATATATGTTGTTTCCATACAGATTATTAATAGGGCTGGATAACTGGGAGGATTTGTCATGAGGTCATTGTAGCCGTCACATGATGCATACTAGTATTATTTTTACATGACATCATTGTGTTAAACATATGGAGATACTCTGCTCAACTTTTCTAAAGCCCTAGTGTGTTGACTGGAGGTAATGTATCCGTGCATGAGAGCTATTAGTCCATTGATATCATATAATATTACAGATGCAGACACTACATAAACAATATTGATAGTATTGTTTCTCCTATAGGGGATGTATTGTGCAGTAGAGGGCATAGAATGAGTTACATACAGGCTGTGTCACTGTACTGTACGCCAGTGGAGGCTCCTCAGAGGAGGAAGGGGAGGCGCATCCTCCTCAGTGAATTTCATAAAAATAAAAATAGTAAAACATTAAAAAAGTTATACATTTTAGATAAAGCTATACTAAATATAATCACGTCACCAAATAATTTATTAAAACACACTGTTTTGCAAAGGAGGTCTACAGTAGCCTCAACAGCACTCTGTAGGGTAGCAACATGGTGTAGCCAGAGGACAGCTAGCTTCCGTCCTCCTCTGGACACATTGACTTCAATACAAAACCTAGGAGGCTCATGGTTCTCACCCCCTTCCATAAACTTACACTGTAATTATGAACTTCCGGAGGACGTCCTCCAACCTATCAGAGCTCTTGCAGCATGAAGTGACGTTGTCCACCCAATCAAAGGATCAGAGAATTAATCTAGTACTGAAAGCATAAGCTATAGCTAGCTAACACCGCAGTGCATAAAATGTGGTGAGTAGTTGACTCAAAGAGAGAGAAAGACAGTAGTTGAACAGTTTTGAACATATTCATTTCTTCCAAAATGAAAGAAAAGCAAGAGAGACATTTATTTTTCACTTTCAGTTTCACTTACTTAGCTAGCAAATGCATCTAGCTAGTTTAGCCTACTCAAACACTCTGCTCAAACAGAGGGATGCTATGTTAGCTAGCTGGCTATGAGTTTCTAACACAACACTGGAACTCTTCCAAGTCAAGGTAAGCTTTTGGTTTTACGAATGTATTGCCACCGGGGCCCGCCGGTGTAGCTGCTTACTGACTGTACACTGTAACGTTACTGCATGATTTTACTAACACGTTAGTTCTATTAGCTATGCTGACTATGATGTTACTTTAGCTAATATGGTGACAACAATGTAGGCTGTGTGTAGCGCTTTGTCTTGGAAAGGATTTTTCGCCTGGTCAAATACAACTGATGTGTTGTGCATTGAAGTCCACAAGTGAAGGGAATCGGTGAGAGGAGGAGAGTGCATAGATGCGAGAAGGAATACAACGTGGCTGCTATGAAAGTGAACTTCCGCCGATTCTGATGAAAAACTTTTCTTAAATGGAAGCAAACTCTGGTTTGCAACTGTTGGACTAATGATTACACCCTATATCAGCTAGATGCAGGCAAGAGTGTGCAAGGCTGTATTGAATGTCACTGTCTGTCCATGTGTCACTGTCTGTCACCTCAAATTTGTCTCTTGAACTGTCTGCACCTAAATTCGAGTATCATGTAGTAGCCTAAACCTATCGCTGTTACATTGAACTGGGTGAATGGAATATAAATGACAGTCATCCAATAAGCTGTAATATAAATAAGGCCATGCTCTTTAAAAAAATGGGCCTCCCTCATCTTAAAATGGCACTGAACGCCACTGCTGTACGCTCTCTCTCCATGAACAATACCTTTGCAGGTCATCTAATCAAGGACAGAGGTAGCAAGGATATCTTTCTCCCTTTACAATGGAATGCAAGTTTAGAACTCTTCTTACCCTTGGTTAAGGGTCTGCATGCCTGTTTTTATACACTATATATACAAAAGTATATGGACACCCCTTCAAATTAGTAGATTCTCTTGTGGCTGAATGGAAGCAAGTCCCCACAGCAATGTTCCGACATCTAGTGGAAAGCCTTCCCAGAAGAGTGGAGACTGTTACAGCAGCAAATGGGGGACCAACTCCATATTAATGCCCATGATTTTGGAATGAGATGCTCGGCACTCAGGTGTCCACATACCTTTGGTCATGTAGTGTTTGTTAAAAATGGTGGGACTGTACTTATATCTATGTTAAAACATGGTACTGTGCTTATATCTATGTTATAAATGTGGTACTGTGCTTATATCTAGGTTAATAATGGTGGTACAGTGTAATATCTATGTAATAAACATGTGTTGACAGGTAGTGATCATTCTTATGTGAAGACATTTCGAGTCCACCTGCAGGTATGATGTCATATAAGTGTGACTCACCTTCTGCCAGACGTAGGCCTCGCGCAAGGTGATGATCTCATGCTCGCGGTGCTCCCCCTGCACGGCACACACCACACAAATGACCTTCTCGTTGGTCTTGCAGTAAAGAGTACCCTCCTGGCCATGCTCCTTACAGCGCAGCCTCTCCACTGTCACTGTGTCCCTCTTACTACCCCCCTCTGGGGCTGCCTTCGCCTCTTCATCACCATCATCAACTTTCCCCTCCCCCTGGACTCTCTCTCCTCCACACGTCTTGTTCTCTTGTACCCCAGTCCCACTGCATGCCCCATTTTCCACCACCCCTTGCTCTGCCCTATGCCCAATCTCTCGTACCCTTTCCTCCCCTGCCCCCTCCCCTGTGTCTCTGTCCCTGGCCGGCTGTTGGGACCGGGCCTGGGGCTGCACCACTTCCTGGCTGTATGGCGTCAGCGGGTGTCGTGTGCTGTGGGCGTGTTTCTCAGCGTGGGTAGAGCAGAAGGCGAAGCTGCAGGTGTAACACACCTGGGTAGCCTGCTGGGCCTCGTCAGGCTCGCATGCGTCACATGACCCGTCCATCTGTGGTAACTCCTCCTCCTCAGGTCCTCCACTTCCTCTCCAGGGTTCCCCTTGGTCTGTCATTGTGGCGGTTATGAGTAGGTTGAATAGGGGGGGGTAAGAGCAGGACACCCTGTAGGAGAGATCAGTAGTACAGGACAGGGTATATAAATAGTGGTGACGAGGGAACACATACTCACACCAAGCTCAGCAGAAAGGTTATGCAGTCAGAATGTCACAGTCAGCTCCTCTAAACATATCACATTGGTTTTGGGAGGGACAGACAATCTCTCTCTAAGAATCCAACAATAATCCACATCTTTAACAAACACATCTTCCTACTGTACATTACCTAAGAAACAGTAACAAGTTGTAGGGACTACTGTCAGAGGGAAAACACCACACAATTCTTCCACAGGTACTGTACAGGGTTGGATAGGTTACTTTCTAAATGTAATCCGTTACAGTTACTCGTTACATGTCCAAAATTGTAATCAGCAAAGTAACTTTTGGATTAACTAAACTCAGTAACAAAATCTGATTACTTTTAGTTACTTTCCCCTTAAGAGGCTTTAGAAGACAACAAAAATGTTTATTACCAATTGAATGACATCTATTGCAGGATAAATCAACGTTATAATTTACATAGCTGGCCATAAATCGATGTTGCATGTTACTTTATGGGTTGGTTATGTAGGCCTCATTTAACTCATTGCTTTCTACAGATAATAATATTAGGCTATATCGTTACATATAATGGGGGCCCCCATTGATTTTGTTAGTCAGTCTCACTCAAATATCATTGTGTAGAATTGCAGGTAATTAGCTTTAAAACTGCAACATTTTCTCTACGCCCCATGGCAAAATGTGTAGAATTGCAGCAAGTGAACTTTCTCTCTGCCGTCAACAGGGTGGTGACTAAAGTGTTTTGCCCGAGAGGTGGGGGGGCCCTATGCAAAGCTCGCTTAGGGCCTCCAAAAGGCTAGGGCCGGCCCTGAATCATTTACCCAACCAAGGCAGGTCACCCCAGTTACCAATGTGGGCCCCCTACCTCTTCTCCTCCTCCCATCTGATGATTAGCAGAGCGGACAACTGTGGACACACCAACTCATTCAAGGGTTTTTCTTTATTTTTACTATTTTCTACATTGTAGAATAATAGTGAAGACATCAAAACTATGAAATAACACATATGGAATCATGCAGTAACCAAAAAAGTGTTAAACAATCAAAATATATTTTATATTTGAGATTCTTCAAAGTAGTCACCCTTTGCCTTGATGACAGCTTTGCACACTCTTGGCATTCTGTCAGCCAGCTTCATGAGGTAGTCACCTGGAATGCATTTCAATAAACAAATGTGCATTGTTAAAAGTAAATTTGTGGAATTTCTTTCCTTCTTAATGCGTTTGAGCCAATCAGTTGTGTTGTGACAAGGTAGGGGTGGTATACATTACAGTCATTTAGCAGACGCTCTTATCCAGAGCGACATACAGTTAGTGCATACATTTTCATACTGGCCCCCTGTGGGAAACGAACCCACAATCCTGGCGTTGCAAGCGCCAAGCGCCATGCTCTACCAACTGAGCTACAGAAGATAGCCTTATTTAGTAAAATAATAAGTCCATATTATGGCAAGAACAGCTCAAATAAGCAAAGAAAAATGACAGTCCATCATTACTTTAAGACATGAAGGTCAGTCAATCTGTAACATTTCAAGAACTTTGAAAAATTATTCAAGAGTAGTAGAAAAAACCAACAAGCGCTATGATGAAGCTGGCTCTCATGAGGACCGTCACAGGAAAGGAATACCCAGAGTTACCTTTGCTGCAGAAGATAAGTTCATTAGAGTTAACTGCACCTCAGATTGCAGTCCAAATAAATGCTTCACGGAATTCAAGTAACAGACACATCTCAACATCAACAATTCAGAGGACACCGCGTGAATCAGGCCTTCGTGGTCGAATTGCTGCAAAGAAACCACTACTAAAGGACATCAATAAGAAGAAGAGACTTGCTTGGGCCAAGAAAAATGAGCAATGGACATAAGACCGGTGGAAATCTATCCTTTGGTCTGATGAGTTCAAATTTGAGATTTTGGGATTCAACCGCCGTGTCTTTGTGAGACGCAGAGTAGGTGAACGGATGATTCTGCATGTGTGGTTCCCACCATGAATCATGGAGGAGGAGGTGTGATGGTGTGGGGGTGCTTTGCTGGTGACACTGTGATTTATTTAGAATTCAAGGCACACTTAACCAGCATTCTGCAGCGATACGCCATCCCAACTGGTTTGCGCTTAGTGGGACTGTCATTGGTTTTTCAACAGGTACAATGACCCAAAACACACCTACAGGCTGTGTAAGGGCTATTTAACCAAGAAGGAGAGAGATGGTGCTGCATCAGATGACCTGGCCTCCACAATCACCGACCTCAACCCAATTGAGATGGTTTGGGATGAGTTGGACTGCAGGGTGAAGGAAAAGCAGCCAAGAAGTGCTCAGCATAAGTGGGAAGTACTTCAAGACTGTTGGAAAAGCATTCCTCATGAAGCTGGTTGAGAGAATGCCAAGAATGTGCAAAGCTGTCATGAATGCAAAGGGTGGCTTAAATATATTTTGGTTTGTTTAACACTTTTCTGGTTACTACATGATTCCATATGTGTTATTTCATAGTTTTGATGTCTTCACTATTATTCTACAATGTAGAAAATAGTAAAAATAAAGAAAAACCCTTGAATGAGACGGTGTGTCCAAACTTTTGACTGGTACTGTATATATACAGTGCCTTGCAAAAGTATTCATCCCTCTTGGTGATTTTCCTATTTTGTTGCATTACAACCTGTAATTTAAATGGATTTTTATTAGCATTTCATGTAATTGACATACACAAAATAGTCCAAATTGGGGAAGTGGAATGAAAAACATTACTTGTTTCAAAACAAGAAACTTTGAAAATCCAACAGAGCACCATTAAATCCATTATTAAAAAATGGAAAGAAAATGGCACCACAACAAACCTGCCAAGAGAAGGCCGCCCACCAAAACTCACGGACCAGGCAAGGAGGGCATTAATCAGAGAGGCAACAAACCTCCACAGCGGAGATTGGAGTATATGTCCATAGGACCACTTTAAGCCGTACACACCACAGAGCTGGGCTTTACGGAAGAGTGGCCAGAAAAAAGCCATTGCTTAAAGAAAATAATAAGCTAACACGTTTGGTGTTTGCCTAGATCCCAGACCTCAATCCAATTGAGAATATGTGGTATGACTTAAAGATTGCTGTACACCAGAGGAACCAATCCAATTTGAAGGAGGTGGAGCAGCTTTCCCTTGAAGAATGGTCAAAAATCCCAGTGGCTAGATGTGCCAAGCTTATAGAGACATACCCCAAGAGACTTGCAGCTGTAATTGCTGCAAAAGGTGGCTCTACAAAGTATTGACTTTGGGGGGGGGGGGGTGATTAGTTATGCACACTTACGTTTTCTGTTTTTTTGTCTTATTTCTTGTTTGTTTCACAAGAAAAAAGATTTTGCATCTTCAAAGTGGTAGGCATGTTGTGTAAATCAAATGATCCAAACCCCCCAAAAATCTATTTTAATTCCAGGCTGTAAGGCAACAAAATAGGACAAATGCCAAGGGGGGTGAATACTTTCGCAAGCCACTGTACACACACAATGTATTATTATTTTTGTTTTTTGTACTGCAACCGCCAACCACAGGAGTATACATACACACATAAAAAAAAATCTGCCTCAAGGGCCCCTTATGGCTTGGGCCCAGGGGCTTCAGCCCCTGTATTAATCAGGCCCTGGATCTGCACTATGCAGCTGTCGCAAGAGCAACTTTTCACTGGCTGATTGATAGGCAGTTTAAACATCTTCAATTCAACCATTATTGGGTTAAAATACACATATACATTTGTGAACAGCCATCCACAACAACCACAATCTGTGAGGCTGAATGAGAGAGCAGCAGTGTGATTCACATCAATGAGCTAAATCTATATAAATAATAAGTGATATCCGTATTGCCCGTAGGCTACACCACTGCTGTCGTCCTTACCTCCAAGCATTTATTCAAGTTGGATAATCTTTGGATGCCGACAGCAGTCACACAATTGGAAGACATAGCTTGGACTATAGCCTATAAAAGCCTATTCCTACTATTTTCCCGTGATGTATCAAGCATTTGGTGTCTCATAGTGGTCTCTGACTTGTGGTCAGACTCATGTGGAACAAATTTAAACTTGCGTATTTTTTCAATGCTGATTTGAATGTCATTGAGAAAACAGAAAGATGTCAAAGATTTTTTCCGCAAACATCTTTTCTGAATTTAAAAGTAATCCTATAAGTAATCATCTAGTTTTTCTAAAGTATCTGTAATCTGATTACAATATTTTTGCTGGTAACGTAACGGATTACAGTTTTTTTGTAATCCGTTAATCCCCAACCCTGAGACTGTACCTGCCAAAGTTTACTGCCTTGGTCTGCAAACACACACTCTTTTTGTTCAGACTTTGCCCCACATACATACACACAGTCACAAAACTGCTGAGAATGCATACCCAGCCACAGCATTAGCAAATACATACACACACATACACACACTCTGGGTGAGTTCGTTTTCCATGGACCGGTGCCATGCGTGGGTGGAGATTTCACTTAAGGACCAATGGAATGGTATAAAATGTACAAACTCTGCCCACCCGGGGTACCGGGCCATGTAGAATGAACTGGCCCGCTCTTTCCTCTCCCTCTCTTTCACTTCCCTCCTTCTGTCAAGCGTCAGACCTTGACCTTTTTTAATGCTTCACTCGTTGTTGTCTTTTGCTCCTCTCCCTCTCGCTTTCATTTCACTCTACAGGAGAGCATATAAGAATGCAGGCTACCCGCGCTGCCTGCCTGACACACACAGCAGGGCCTAAGCTTCATACAAACCCGTTATGTGGCACTATATTGAATCACTCCAATATGGTATCCTTCTGCGCGGCAGGATACATTCGGGGTAAGGATTTCAGATTAGTCCCATGTACCGGGTAGTGCTGAGGCTGCAGCTGACCCTCTTAAATAGCTGCCGCTGCACTACTTCCACCTCGTCCTTTTCTCGGCTCATTCCAGAGAGGATTCGCTTGGTAAGAGCTCTATGTTAGAGTGTATAAGCGCAGAAGTATACCTGCAGCTATTCAATAGCTTGGAGCAGCTAGC